AAATTCCCAAAGTGAGCCAAGGGTATGAAATTCCCACTACATGAGAAGTCCATACCCACAAGGACGAAACTACACTATGGCTAGAGTGGGCTTTAGCCTAGTGCAAAGTTTGGGAAAAAAGAAATTTAATACTAATTTTGAGGCACTACACCTCATTTTACAATAATTAGCCCAATCCATTCAAGCAAAAATTAGCATGTCCTATCCAAACAGATCTCCAATTAGCTTCAAGTTTCCCCATATGAGAAAATAAATGAAATTTTATTTAGATCTTTACCCATATAAGAAATAATAGCTCACTTGCATACCCATGAGTCCATAATTGCAAATGCACTTATCAAACATTGGAATGCAATTTGAAGCTCATTTCAAGCTCCTAAATTTTAAACCAAATGGGCCCTTTAGGCTTAGAAGTGGCTTGGCCCAATAAAAGTTGATGGTTGAAAATTGGCCCAAGAAGGATTGATTGGTGAAAAACTTTGCTTTAACCAAATGGGCCCTTCAGTATATATATATATATATATATATATATTTTTAATCGAGTAAGAAATTAAGTTTTTTTTTTCCGCTTTAATATTGAACGTTAAAAAGAAATCAACGAGGGTAAGAATAGAATAGAAAAGAGAAAAAACAAAATTTATTAAAAAGTATTAAAAAACAAAAGGGAGCAAGTAGAGAAAATGAGAGTGGGGAAATCAGCTCCCTTAAAAAAAAAAAGGAGAATGTAAATTTTGTGTATTTCAATTATTATTGGAACTCTCAATGGACACGTGTAGGGCTGCAGTGGGAGAGTCTGAATTTACACTCAGCTCTGGGCGACTTAGGATAGATTCCTCTATAGCCTAAATTATACTCGTATATATATAATCCTACAATACAAAACGCACACAAAATTTCCAAATATTTTAGCAGTCGAGACATCTCAGTCCACCACTCTACTATTCTGAACGCGACTCGACCCGACAATGTCCACACCCGAATCGCAACCCCCTTCCGAAGACGCAGCTTCCGTCAGCAAAAAGGCCGCCAAGAAGGAAGCCGCCAAGCAAGAGAAGCTTCGCCGCCGCCACGAGCAAGAAGCCCTAGCCGCCGCCACTCGCTCTCTCGCCGTCGATGACGAGCAGGACCCGCTGGCCGCCAACTATGGAGACGTCCCGCTCAACGAGATACAATCGAAGACGGTGGAGGACGTCCGCCGATGGACCGAGGTCGGCGCTCTGACGAACACATTGGAGAACCGCTCGGTGCTGATTCGAGGCCGAGCGCAGACGATCCGAGCCGTGGGGAAGAACATGGCGTTTGTGGTCGTCAGAGAGAGAGGCTTCACCGTGCAGTGTGTGGCTACGGTCCAGCCTGATACCGTGAGCCGCCAGACGGTGAAGTACGTTGCCGGTTTGAGCCGCGAATCGATTATTGATATTGAAGGAGTTGTTTCTGTTCCCAGTGTTGAGATAAAAGGCACCACACAGCAGGTAATTTTTTATTTCTATTTTTTTATAAATTCACTGCTTAGTTAATGCGTGATTATAATTGAAATGTTGATTTTAATTAGGTGGAGGTTCAAGTGAGGAAAGTGTACTGTGTGAGTAAAGCTGCTGTGCTACCTATTAACATTGAGGATGCAGCTCGAAGCGATGCTGAAATCGAAAAAGCTTTGCAGGTACAATGACTATTTAAGAGAGTCAGATGAGAGGTTTTTTTGTTTTTGTTAATTGGATTCTTGAAATTTTGTCAAGGATTTGGAATTTTTTTTTGTATGTAAATTAATTGGATCGTTTGGTGGGTTTTAGGCTGGAGAAAAGCTTGTTCGTGTTAATCAGGATACACGCTTGAACAATAGAGTTCTTGACTTGCGAACACCGGCGAATCAGGGGATCTTCCGGATCCAGAGCCAAGTTGGAAATGTAAGTTTTGTTTGTTGCATTTGCAGATATATGCTTTGTGTTTGTTTCTCTTTGTAAAGTTGTAGAAATTTTTTTGTTAGAGTTTAGTTCTGTATGTAATTGGTTGTGTTATTGTGTAGATCTTTAGGCAGTTTTTGTTATCTGAAGACTTTTTTGAAATCCACACGCCAAAATTGATTGCTGGTTCAAGCGAAGGTGGTGCTGCTGTGTTTAGACTCGACTACAAGGGTCAACCTGCCTGCCTTGCCCAATCACCTCAGCTTCACAAGCAGATGGCTATCTGTGGTGACTTTGGCCGTGTTTTTGAGATTGGTGGTGTTTATAGGGCCGAGGACTCCTATACCCATAGGCATTTGTGTGAGTTTATTGGTCTTGATGTTGAAATGGAGATCAAGAGTCACTATTCCGAGGTAGAGCTTCAATTTCTAAGGTTTTCTCGTAGCACACAATATGATCATGGATGTGAGTTACTGAGTAGTTATATGCTTGTTCGTGCAGGTGATGGATATTGTTGGCCGTTTATTTGTTACAATATTCGACACTTTGAACAAGACTTGTGAGAAGGAGCTTGAAGCTGTAGGGAGACAATATCCCTTCGAACCATTGAAGGTCATGATTCTTATTTGTTTTTTTATTGACATGATAATTGTAATGTGATATGTTTGGTGTGCTGCATGATCTTTTCCTAATAAACTCATTTATATTCCAGTCAGTTATAGAATAAAATGTTACCAAATATTTCAGGCCTGTGTCCATAAAGTTTTTGGATTCTGATTATTGACATTTCATAAATTTGCAGTACTTGCCAGAGACTCTACGCCTTACATTTGAAGAGGGTATTCAAATGCTCAAGGTTAGGAATATGATGTTAATTTTATTTATTTACTTATTTTCATTGGTTCATGTTTTGCACTGAATAAAATAGAGAAATTAAATGAATGATTGTAGATTTTGATAGGGCTGTTTCACAGTTCACAAGTTACATGGTTCTCTAGGAAGCATGAGTTTTAAGAAATCTTGAAGCTGAAGAGGAGATAGAATACTATCATACTAGTTTAATCTTTCATTCGGTGGTAAATTTATTTATTTATTTTTATGATTAGGAGAGCTTTAGATGGATTAGAAAGCTCCATGTAGGCAATTGCTGGTAATTCAGAAACTTGTGTTCGTGAGCTGTAGAAAACAACCCAACAAATTAGGTAGTCTGGAGTTATCTTGCAGAGTGGGCAACAAGTGAAAAGAATGGGCCGAATAATTTAAAACTTGTGCGTAAATGAGCTGAATATTTCTTTGTTTATTTATTTGGACTAAACTCTTATGTATATGATTTTTTTTGCATGCATGGAATGCTAAAACATGCACGACCTGCTTTCAATTGCAGAGTTTTCTTTCTTTTTATTGTAAGTTTTACCTCTTTGTATAGGATGCTGGCGTTGAAGTGGATCCTATGGGGGACCTTAACACTGAGGTGGAGAGAAAACTGGGGCAACTGGTTTTGGAGAAGTAATTTTTAATTTTCTTGCTCTATATCTTCATAAGTATATGTTTTAGTTTGCTCACGGTTAATTTAGATTCTGTTATTATAAATGTTTGAACTGGATTTTACTGGATCATAGGTACGGCACTGAGTTCTACATACTCCACCGCTATCCTTTGGCTGTGAGGCCATTCTATACGATGCCTTGCCACGATAATCATGCCTACAGTAATTCATTTGATGTTTTTATTCGAGGTAAATCATCAATGGCTGTATCAGCATTGTTGTCTTGGTTTTAAATATCAACGAAAATCTAATTATCTATTTCCCATCCCTCAGGCGAGGAGATAATTTCTGGCGCCCAACGAGTGCACGTGCCAGAATTACTGGCTGAACGTGCACAAGCATGTGGGATTGAACTAAAGACAATTTCAACATATATTGATGCTTTCAGGTATTCATATTTTTTCTTCCCATGTTATTATTGATATCATTTTTTAAAATATTCCAAGTCAAAAGCTCTTTACAAATTTGGCTTTTTACCATGCTATACACCTCTCTGCTGCTCAAATATGTTTGGCATAAGTTTTTTGGGCCCGGCTCTTGTTAACCCTTGTGATGGCTCTTACAGATATGGTGCACCTCCACACGGTGGGTTCGGGGTAGGGCTGGAGCGCGTTGTCATGCTTTTCTGCGGTTTGAACAACATCCGCAAAACTTCTCTGTTTCCTCGTGATCCACTTAGGATTGCCCCTTAGCGTATTTTTCATTTTGGCAGAATTCGATCGTTAGAGATCTAAAACATACTTAATTTCGTTTCTGTTCTTTAGTTTGTGAGACAATCAATTCTTAAAAGTGATAAAATGCACATTGTCCGATGATTGCGTTGTTTTTATTGATGTTCGTACGATTTGAAGTGAATGGATGGATGGATGGGTTAGAAGGCAAGTAGATAGTAGATGGAATACATGATAGCTCGCTACCGCATAGACAAAAAATTCTTACGTGGACTAACCTAAGAATTAGGAGTTCAATTTTCTTTAACAAAGTTATTTTTCAGTCTAACCACTAACAAAGTGAAAGAAGAGCAAATCCATAATGTTTATTTTGTTCTTTCTCTATATGCTGTCATATTCTCTCTCTCTGATGGTTCTCTGTGTTGGTAGTTTTTTGTATTTTTCAGTTTGTATCATGTGGGTTTCTGTTGAGCATTGATCTAGTGATTCTTGATCTGCTTTGTTCGGATATGTTTGTGCTGAAAATCTTTATAATGAAGGGGAATGGTTTTGCTCACCACTTGAGAAAAACAAAAGAAAAACAAAATAAAAAGACTTTGGACCCCTCTGAAGGCAAGGCAGGCAGGAACGCAAGAGCGAAGTCTTCTTCATGGACGACTTGCAGAGTTCGGAGGTCCAAAACTACAATAACCCCTACATGCCATTGAATTGATGGGTTTTTGTTTTTTGGTGTTTTGTTTTAGGGGATATCTTTTCCAGGTTGGGTTACGATTATGAAATTGCATACCACCAAAACGGTGCGTTTAATGGCTTGAAAATAAAATTTCTAAAATCTCCCAGCTGTGTCCAATCTCCCAAAAGAATTGAAATATTGCATTCCCATAAGTTCCAGAACAATTAATTATGGTGTAATCACTGAACCCAGCAAGCAAAAAAACATACAAAGGAAGGTGCGGGTGAAAAATCTACGTGTAAACTAATGAATGAAACTAGCTTTCTTCTCATTGGTAAATAATGCATAAGGAAAACCCAAAAATAAAACAATTAATTACACTATCTGGTCAACTACTAACACGAATCTAATCGGGTTTAAGAAAATTATGTTACAATTAATATCCAAAACCGCCCACATAATCCTCATCACCACTGCTAAAGGATTCCATAAATTGACTATCGTCATCGTCGTCTTCCTCGCCATCTGTCACAATCTCCAGTATTCCACCTCCTCCCTCAAAGTCATCCATAATAAAATCTCCATCCTCGTCGTCATCGTCGAGGTCACTCACGCTGTCATCCTCATCATTGCTCATATCATCAACATCACTGTCAGAATCCCCATCAAGATCTGGGCCCAGTATAGGGTCCACATCATCGTCGTCATCCTCATCCTCGTCATCTTCATCTTCTTCACTCTCAGCATCATCAGGATCAGAATCATCATCAGTCGGCCTCCGGCGACCAATTTCATAAACCCTAGCAGAAGCTAACATATCATCTTGATCATCCATTGTGATCAACCCAACAAAGGAATCAGTTGGCTCTGTTGCAAAGTCAAGGACACAACGATCAACTGGAATAGTGGCAATGTCAGAGTAGTTAACTGCATCCACCGTGCGGAATGCAGCAAAGAGGGGATGCTTTACACGTCGGGTGTGAACCGCTGACATTACATCCTCCAGATTTCGCCGGAGGATTGCATAAATTACATCACCACGCCCATTGAAAGTTATTGTTGTTTGGTCTAATGAAGGTACACTCCGAAGGAGTCTGAATTTCCGGAGATCCCAGACCTCAGAGTTTATAATCACCTGTTGAAAAGAAAAAGATAAATAAATTCAGATTAGAAATGACCAAAAAAGGGGAGAATACAACCTTGCGAGGCAGAATGCAGATGACTGCTTTGGAAATAAGAAGAATACAATAAGAATTGCAGAGTTAACTCATAAACAATGCAAGGGCAAAATACCAATATAATTATAGCCTACTGTGGTAGACGCAAGGGTTTCTTTCTACATACCTCATTCCCAGCAGGATGGAAGCCACCGCCCCCATAATCTGTAAACTGATCAAAACGATGAACAGGGGTAGAAACCCGTCTGTCCCATAGGACCCCATTCCAAAGCAGCATTGTGTCTGAAGGGTTGAAGTGTATATGAGAATAAGAATGTCCCCGACCTGTAGAGCTAGCAGATGTATCTGACAGTTTCGATTCCAACTGGCTAGTTTGGATGTCATACAGGAGAATCTCTCGCCGGGCCAGCTCTGATGGAAGAGCTGCAAAAATATCCCCAAAATTGCTAAATCTTGCAGCCTTACACCCTTCATAGGAATGCATGGGCCCAGAAGAGACTGAAGATGCTTCCCACAACCTCACATCCTGGGAGCTTGAAGAAAGCACCAGCTGGGTCTCACCGGAAAGATGTGACTGAACAAGGGTTATAGGAGACTGGTGGCTTGCACAACTCTCCAGTACATTGCTGCTATTGGAGTCAAAAATTTTGAGCTCACCACCATGGCCGCCTACTGCAATATGAGCGGAATCACTAAGAAAAGAGATGCATGTCAAAGGGGCACCAGAATCATCCCGACAAGTTCGCCATGGTCGGAATCTACTGTAAACAAACTGACGATCCCTGCGATTTCCGTGGACCCCACCATACATGCTTTTGAACTCACGAGTACCAAGCCGGGCTGTAACATTCGATGGGGCATCAAGGCTTCGTCTTGGTTCAGGGCAAACATGTGGGTGTAAAAGAGAGAGTGGTGGAAGAGTGGTTATAGGGGCAGGACATTGCCGGTGCTGGTGCTTCAAATACTGAACAACCACAGAGTCTAGAGTTAATCGCTCTGCGTTGCTTGGCTGAGGGTCACTCTGCAGCCCAAATTGGGAGGATGGTGTTGTCAGGCCCATGCTAGAATTACCATACTGGTTATCATCAGGATACTCTAATGGAAAACAAGCTGGTGTTGATCGACCATATTGATCTCTTAAGTTAGCAGTTGGGGTAGAGAATCCACCAGCATCAGTTAGTAGGCTGGTCTTCCGCATGGTAGTGGGTGTAGGACCAACTGGAGATCGAAGCCCTTGGTCACCAGTGTGAAGACGTTTCCCTGATGATAGCAAACACCCAGGATCCTTTAACTCAGATAATTTCCGTTTCATTGGCAAGACAATGGGCGTCTTGCATTGGGACTCTGTATCAAAAGTAGGTTTTGGCAGGGATGCTGATGGAGTTTCTGATGCATTGGCAGATGCAGAAAACTGTTTCGATGCACCAAAGACTTTCCTGGCTGATGCCCAGTGAGAATCATGGGACTGAGATTGATTCCTTGACTGTAGAGCAAAATTAGGAGAGAAAACTAAAGGTTTCTTCTTTGAATACGAGAAAGCAGAATCAAATTTCACACTTGGTTCCTCATCCCTTGCAGTAATCTTTGATTTGTTTGTAAGAAATCCACTAGGTGTGCGACCAGAGGGCCACTGAAGTTGTACAGAGGGAGCTTCCTGTGTGGCTTGATGAACAAGAGATGAGGGGGCAGCCAAGGATGGCAAAGGCATCAACTGAGCCTCTTTTAGCAGTGAAGCAGCTGTTGCGGCCAAACCAGATGCCTGAAGGTGTTCGTGTATCAAGAGCAATAGTTCCCTGACATTTCAAGTACACATAAAGAGGGAAAAAGTCAACAGAAGAATCAAAAGCAACAAATTTCAACAAATACTGGCATTATACGAGGAATCACTCAATACCTGGAATGGTAAGTGATAGGAGTGGCAGCAGCTATAGCTGCCCTTTCTATGCGCCTCAAAGTTGGCATAGCAGCATCAGTGGCTGCCAATGTACTAGCTCGTCCAGAATTTGTCACAATCTACAACAAAAATAATATGGCATGAGTTTTGACCATGAAGTACAAAGCAGGTTGGGGGAAAGGGAAAAGGGTGCGGGCAAAAGGCTATGGAATAACCCTATCTCATTAATAAAACTGATTCTGTTAAATAAACATTATTTCTAAGCAACTTCTAATTGTAAACAAATGCTTACCGCAATGAGTTCAATTGCTGCCTGTGAAAGTTCAGCTTGCCACCTGCCTTGCTCAGTTGCATTTGTCTGGCTCCCAGAATCTCGAATTAGTTCTGAAAGTTTCTTTCCAACCTAGAACATCATGTTGCACTTAGTAGCAGGAAAAGATTGACTAATATAACATAAGGTCCTAACTTTTGACAATGACAAAAAAAAAAATTTGAATGTAGAATAACAATGAAGAATAACCATGATTAAGAATTTAATGACTTAGAACTTGATGGAAACAGTGAAGAATAACAATAAAAGGAAGTAAACTATGTTTGAAACAAAATCAAAAGTTGAATGTAGAAAAATTAGCCAGCGACAAAGTTATGTCTGAGGCAAAGGGCCAACTAAACCTTCAACTTGAACTAGCAGAGCAGCATAAAATAAAAGAAGACAGCGTAACACTTCTCAGTCTTCTCTGCAACTGATGCTAAACCCTCACATCTGTTAACAAAGAGATTTGTATGTAGCTTCTATAGGAATACTGAATTCCAGAATGCCTTAAAACTTTTACTTTGAAAGTATTTCTTTCTCCATAATATTTAAAGTTCTGGATGAAACTGTACTCATCTCCTAAAGGAAATTTTTAGTCTCGCATTCTCTTGCCCCCCATTTTGGATGTGGTAGTACATTTCCTTAAGGCCCACTAACAGGGGCGACTTATTAAAAACAGGAATCCCTGGTGTTAAATAACTGAGCATGCCCTAATTTCCCTGTACTTTATTTCTTTTTAAAAAAGTCTGATGTTTTGCAACATCATTTAAACCGAATGAGCCGAAGCAGAAAAGATAGGGGTCAACCACATCCAAGGGAAGAATATACAAAATAAAATTTTGATTCTGTAAAGCTGTCATGTCAGTATTGCGTATAAAAGTCATGTACCTGGAGCTTTGTCAATATATGGGCAATAGTATCATCTCTGGCTAAACCAAGAAGGACTCGACAAGCAAGTGCACGGAGACAGTCAAGTGCCGCAGGAGGTGAATATATGCGTGGTTGGAGGAGATGCAGGAGAACTTTTATGCCGTTGTTGGCGCGAACAGCCTCCCTTGCTTGGCGATAGCCTTGCTCTAATTGTGCAGCCAGGCCGGCACCACCTGCAGCAGGTCCTAAAGATATTCGGCGATCCCCCACCAATCCTGACATTGCTGTGGCAGCAGGAGCTTGTGAATTGCTACTGTTGGACTGCGTACCAGGTGCTGCTGCACTACCTCGATCTACTACATCTGAGATATTACGTTCTGTGTTTCTATCTCTTGTCTCTGTAGCAGGACCATTTGAGGTTTGGGCAGAAACAGACTGCTGACCTTGAGCATGCAATGGTGGTTTATTACTGATTGAAGGTGGAGGACAGACAAGATTGACCAACACATTTAGTGCAGGCTGAATGATCTGGAAAAACACAAATAGATAATTAGAATAAATCCAATGATAAAGGCAAAGCAAGACGGACATCCAGTTATAACAAAGTCATAAACAACGTCTTTACCTCAGGGTCCACATAACTACCACCAACACTTGCTGCATCCAAAATGACTGCTATACCAACACGATTATTGCTTAATGTCGAATTCACGATCATCTTGCGGCTGCTAGGGACCAACGTAACAATATGCAGAACACCCAATGCATATTGAAGTAAATCATGTAAATAACGCTCAACTGGTGGAGCCTGCGGAAATCAAAATTCAGCATATCCAGAGAAGGCAGAAAGTGAAAAGTAAGTGAGCATATTGAAAGTTCATGTGGCAAGGGTATAGGAATACATTATAACATTGGCCTGAATAATTTCACACACACACAGAAAGAACTTTAATGTAATATATTATACCTGGCATAACTCCAACATAGTAATATGTCCATTAAAACGCAAGAACTCATCGACTGCAGGCCAACGAGTTCTCACAAATGCAGGACCCAACTTCCGGTCCTTCTGTAACTGCAGAAATACTGCATCCAAAGCTTCATTGCTGATGTCAAGTGGCTTGTAAGCAGCCCTTACACTTGGAAGATTCCGAGCCGCACTTCGATTGTTTTTAATTGGACGAATAGAATCCACGAGCAACAGAAGATGGGCTCTGAAGTATTGCCGCAACGCAACACAAGTGTGGTAAGCTATCTGTTTCTCCGATGAAGTCAGTACCTCTGCAGGTGACCTTTCATTTCGAAGTGATCCTGAACCAGTGAGTCCTAATGCCCCAGAATTTACTCCAGATCTGACCGATGCAGCATCATTTAAAAGGCCCAGTAATTTATGTAAGCCTTCCTGAGTATCAAAAGCATCAAGAACTGCCCGGAAAACAAATGCAGCAGCAAAAAATAAGGCTGCATTTTTCCTGGCTTGATCTTGTGAGCACTCAAGTAGTTGAAGAGCTAACTTAACCACCTGGTTGACCACATCCGAAGGAAGAGCACAAACACGCTCCATAATTCCCTGAAAAAAGATTAATTGGTCATCACAAAAGATGAAGACTAGATGGATATTATTATCATGATGCAAGTAAATGGGAAATTAGTCTCTAACAGCCCAACTTCACACCATGTGTGATTACCTGGAGAGAACCAATAGTAAACAAGCAAGAAGAAAGGCCAAAGAAGGTTTGAGCAACCCTAGGGACAGTAAGCAGTTTCTGCATGCCACCCCTATCCACAAACAAGGCAGCAAATTTCCGATGAGCAGCCAAAGCACAAATGAGCTTCATTATATCAGGCAAGAGCATTGCAACCTTTGATGCCTCTTTATGTCTAGAATTTCGTTGCAATAATGCAAGACATACGTCTACCCCCTTTTCATGCAGTACAGGTCCAAGAACTTCAACATATTCTCCAAGAGTCTCAAGACACTGAATACAGTATTTTTCTCTCAACTGTGCAAGGGACTCGGCATCAAGAATGAAGTATTCTTCAGCATCTTCATGGATTTCTGGTTCTGTGCTGCTTGATGTCATTGATTCGGCATTGATGCTACTCGAGCTCCTGCCACCAATCCATAGGAAGAATTATAACCCGCAGTAAAGAAGTATTATTCTAAGGCAGTACAGCCATAAAAAAAAGTTGATAGCACAGCATGTGATTCATCAAGTATCTGTACTATATACCTCTTCTTTGCATTTAAAAAAAATGAAATACCTACCTTGAAACTTCAACTGAATTGGCAGCATCAATGACAGTAGAAGCTGCTCTTGAAGCAGCCAAAACTGCAGCTTCTTCATTATTTGTCATTTTGAATTCCTGCATAATTAAGCGGCAAACAACTGAGAAGTGAAAACTAAACAAAAACCGTTACAGAGAGTGACAATAACAGCTTTTGTACCTCTAAAGCTGCAGTTTTGACAACTTCAGCAGCAGCATCACCCGCAGCTTTGATGGCTTCTGCAGGTGCATTAGCTGCTCTGGCTTCAGCTTCTGCAGATCTAACTGCTTTCTTTACTAAGTCAGAGATATCTTTACATCCAACTCTGCAGTCCTGGAAGCAGTCATCGTTATCCTCCCTTTCCAGATAGAAAACATCTGTATTCCTGTCCAAACACTTCCTAGAATCTGGTATTTTTTTCACATCGGAATTTTTCAATGCAGCCCTGTCTCTAAAGCTCCGTCCCTGCCCCAACCTACTACCAGATCCTGGAGAGGTCAAGAGCTGTTCATTCTCTACAGCACCTTCATTTGCCCTTCCCTTCCCTCTAGATCTTGTCCATCCACGGTTGGGTCTGCGCCTTGAGGAGTCGTCTCTCCCATTTTCATCAAAATCTCCAAATTTCATCTTTCCATCTGCATCATAGATCTCAACCCCCTCAGCCAATCCATCAGGTGGTTCTCCTCCATCAACCCAACGCTCTTCACCAAACGCTTGCCTACTGATACTTCTGTCCTGAATCCCTTCAACGTTCTGGTCATCTAAACATCTCTCATCTGTTATCCTTGGATCATCAAAATGGGTTGTTTCCAGAACCTGCCGAACCCTACCCCGACCTTCATCTCTACCTCTTACACAAACAGCATTCAAGGTATTTTTGCTCTCTGTTAAATGATTAGAATCCTTTTGAGTAATACTTGACTCCCCCAAAACACGCACACGAAGATAACGCATAAGTTTGGCTGACAATCCAGACGTCAACACATCTTCCACTACTTGACCACCACTATTTTCAATAAAAATTAAGATAGGTGAACCAAACTAGTCAATAAGAATAAAATGAGGAAGGGAAAATAAAGATACAAAGAAGGAGCATACCCAGCCAAACATACAGCAAGAAGTCCTGTAGCATAGGTCTTCAGCATTTCAAAATCTGAGACCTCCTTGCCCCCCAAATCATGCTTCCAATTCTGGTATTCAACAGATGAGCTGGAAGTCTCATCCATCACCCAATCTTTTATTTTCTCCAAAACAGCTTCTTCAAAAACATGAGGATACTGTATCACATTCACGCTTGTCAGATTGATAACAAGCCATAATAATCATCTTCATTAAGGAACAAATAAAATAAATGAAACTCGATGGTATCAGAAAAACAACAATCTTACAATCCAGGTTAGTGAACAGCTTAAAAGCAGCCTTCCAGCAGCTGCCTGGACGGCAACAGAGTATCTTGTTTCCGACAGATACTTTGAAGATATTAATTCAAAGAAATCATCATGTTCCTGGCAAAAAGAGAAAAAAATTAGAACAAAAGCTTGGTCCCTGCAAACAAGATATAATCCAAATATATGAATACATTTTAGCAACCATCCCAAAAATAAATAAATAAAAATTACAAAAGGAAACCACACGCCAAAACCAGTTACCCGGACTAAGTTCCCTAGCCGTCCGATGTTATGTGAAGCACGAGCATTGCTGGATGAATGACCATTCTCTTCCATGTATCTGCATTAAACGATAGTTTTTTCTTCTTTAGGTAAGGTTCAGAGTTTATTTACCAGAACAAAGTTTAACAATGTAAATAAATAATCAGCCACAAATAATGTATAAATATAAGATCACAGACTTGTGCAACAAAACAAACAGTGAAAAGTCACCTGACAGTACATATATAACCAGACAAAGCATTCTAAATAAACAAGAACAATCATAATTCCCACCAAAAAAGATATTAGAACTTCGGATTCTGAAGTATTATTACCTAGCTATTAGAAGTTGCCACCATTCAGACAAAATCCATACCTAACCACTCAAGCACACCCCAAAGTTAATACATCTAGTGAACTGACTGCCAACTGACTTTCCTATGCTAAGAATAATAATTCCTGTACACCAGAAAAAATTTAAAATCATCGACTCGGCATCCTAAAGACAGTTGCTTGAACACATCCATCGCCTTGGCCATTGAAAAATCCTAACCTCTTTATATAACTACAATGACATTCCATGTCGTCCTTAAACCCTAACTTTGACTACAGCAACTCAAAGTCTTCAAACTAAATTTACATTTTCTGTGATCTTCTGCCCTACATGACCTATCAAGATTATATATCAAGTATCGATACCCAATCCTACCAGAATATCATACCACCAGCAAGCCATGCATTACTAAGTAAAGCGGAAGAAGTATTGCTTACAAGGAAATGAAACGTCGACTGTGTAAATGACAGTCACCAAGAGCATTCCAAAAATTCAAATTATCACCAATTTCAAGGCAATAAGCAAATACATAATTATACAATTGCCAACAAAGCCATTAAATTCACACACAATACCTTTGAAATCATTAATCTAAAACCTCTTAATTTGTAAGTTTATCGTCATTAATCGTGTCACAATTTTTTTTTAAAACTCAATATTGAAAGGAAAAGAAAAATAAGAAGAAAATGCAAATGATGAAAACACAAAGCACAGCATTACAACAACAACTCGCACTGAGTGGCATCTCAGACTCAATTCTTGAATAAATTCGCATCAATTTACATAATAAAGCTTCAAAAACAAAAGTTCAAAAGAAGAAACGGTTCGAACCGAGACTCTTGAGTTTCAAGAAGGGAGGCAAGTGCGTGAAGAACAGTAGGATTAGGGTTATCCGGCGCGGAAGTGATCTTGTCCATAAGCTTCTGGGCCTTGGCAACCAATTCGTCGTCTTCATTCTTAACCTCCTCTTCTTCATCGTCGTCTTCGTCCTCGCCTCCTTGAGATTGGGATTCGGGCGCTGGCGGAGGCGGTGGAGGTGGCGCTGGTGGCTGGGCTTGCCCTTGCCCTAAGGTTTGCTGCTCATCCATGGCCGCCTCCATATGCTATCGAATACAGAGACAGATGAATTTGTATAGAGAGAGAGTCGCGAAGGGATTAACAATTGAAATTGAATATTTCTGTGTTTGTGTGTTTTATTTACGTTAATGTTTTTGAATTGGATTTTCAGGGTTTCTGTTATTTATAATTTTATAGGTTTTTGGAGTTTGCAGAGCGAAAGAGATGGAGAGGAAACAAAAAAAAAATGAAAGGGGAACAAAAGTTGTTCTTGCGTAGTGTGCGTTCGATTTTATAGTGGAGGAGAAAAGAGTGCGAAAAGGAAAGGTCGACTCGGAAAGTTCCGGAAACAACCCGACCCGGTAATTTGGAACCCTACCCTACCGGCGTTCACTTGAACCGTGCGTCATCTGACCCGTTTTGTGATTTCTTTATTTTTCTAGGAGCATTTTCTTTCTTTTACTATTATTTTTAACAGAAAATAAAATTTAACACATCACTTACGACATGTTTTTACTGACCAAAAATTTACCACTACACTTTATGAATTTGAATATTATCAATTTCTGAATTTTTTTTTCTATTTACACTCCCTTTTATTTTTTAATATTTTTATAATTACCATTAAAAGAGAGGGTAAGTTGACAAAAAGAAAAGCTAAATTGGTCAAATTGATCATATCGGACTAAGGGGGGTGTATTCAATTGAGATTTTAATAGATTGCAATTACATGATTTTAATGTAATGGATTTCAGCCGGATTTGTAATTATATGATTTTACTTATGATTTTAATTCACTTAGGATTTTACTTATGATTTTAATAAATTGCAATTACATAATTTTACTTATATTTCTATACAAGTTTGAACTCTATCACCCATTATCATTCACCTAATACATAACCTGAAGGAATATACCCAATTTTTAGGGTTAATACAAAAATGGTGGCATAGTAACCATCAAAGGTTAGTCCAGGGGGAGTACACCGACATCAACAATGTAACTCCCAACATAGCCACACATGGCCAGAATGAATACGTTAAAGATACTGAGAGCCTAGACATAACATGCAAGAACACTCAACTACAAATGCAAAACTACCATTAACTCTCACAAGCAAAATAATACAACAAAAAACTGCAACTACAATGAAAAACAAATCCGCACAGCCTCAGAAGACCATCTTCCTCTTTAGTCCAAGCTCCTTTTCTCACATCCAAGTTATTTCCCTCCATCTTCTAGTTTATCTTGTGCCTGCTAGTTCCTATATAAAGGTCCGGAGAGCACCAAACTCAACCTTGCAATTTCAGGGGAGTGACGTGCATGTCTCATATCCACAGAAGCGAAAAGTAACAAGTTTAAAACGATCGCGGAGTCAGTTATTCTCGATCCTAACTGAGCAACCAACCTATATACGGACTGTCAAAAACAAAACACTAATGACAAACTTGGGTGTACAAACCGTATACGAAACATTGAACGGAATAAAATTCTGGGTAATATTCGAAGCAAAATCTAATATTCGAAGCAAAACTTGGGTATACAAACCGTACACACATATCTTTGGACTCTAAGAACATCAAGACGAAGATTCGTCCGTCAATTTATGTACGCTGAGCAACATTTAGACACAACACCTCACCATCTCTCTTGCGTGGATTTTCTATGCTTGCCCACGTTAATTGACCGATGGGTAAAACTAAAAATTGTGATCTCTAAGTGGGCTCAATTTTAGTAGATCAAGAAACCTTTTGGGTAATGAAGGCCACATCTCAGTCCAAAGGTTCCATCTTGCCAGTGATCAGTGGAGCTCCATAGAGCCATAAACGCACAGCAAGGTTGTGTGCAAATCCATAATACTCACATGGAGGAGCAATCCCATGAACAAGCCTCGATAGAGACATCACCTTCTTCTTCTTCAGTAGACCATAAAACTTGGATAGAGTAAGCAGACCGATAAGTCACAACTTCTACACACACATTCTCATTTCAATTCAATTTTGACACGATCGTGGTGAAAATTTCAGGACCCAGGATTTTCTGAAGAAAAAGTTGATTGCAGAAGATGATTTCACATGGAGATTAGCTGTTACAGGAAGGTCAATGGAGAAAGAGGAGGAGGTGTTGAAGTATGTGGGTGGAGTTGATATAAGCTATTCAAAGGAAGACCCATCAATGGCATGCGGGGTTCTTGTAGTTTTGGACCTCCAAACTCTCCAAATTGTCTATGAAGACTTCTCTATTGTCACCCTCCATGTCCCTTATCTTCCTGGCTTCCTTGCTTTCAGAGAGGTCCATTTTTTTTTTATTTGATTTATCTTGATGTTCATGTTTCAACAATATTTTGATCACAGAAGCTGAGAAAAGCAACAAGAAAGGGGCAAGTATTTGAATTTTATATGCCAGTGATTTGACTGTTTGATGTATTTGATTTTTCTATGTTGATCTAGGCCCCAGTGCTTCTTGAGCTTTTGGAGAAAATGAAAACCAATGCTAATCCTTTATATCCACAGGTGATCCTAATACTTGTATTGGTTCCTACTACATTTGTTTTTGGTTCCCCTTCACTGCGCTTCATCTCGCTACATGAATAATTTTATGTTCTTGAAAGCTTTAACATTTGATTTTGGTTTTTCATATTTACGTATAAACTTTTCTTAACTTACCTTAGATATATTAGAGAATATTAACCTTATGCCAAATCTGGCAAGTTGGTGACTTGCAAACTGTTCTGTGTGTTTTGTAATTTTACTCTGCTTTATTTTAGAGTTCGAGTAAATAACAATAATTATCTTTAATGCTAACAGCTGCTAGTGGTAGATGGAAATGGAATACTTCATCCTCGAGGCAAGTCCTTTGACAGAATCCCCATAGAATAGATGCTTGCCCTTTGTAAATGAAGCCTTTTCCTGTTTATTTACTTTTATTTTTAATGTAATTTGAGGTCTATGATGGGACTGAAGGTCTGGAGTTGCTGAAAATATGGGTAGGTTACACTTTTAGGTCTAGTGAATCTAGTGAATCTTTTGCTCACTTCACAATTGGAAAGCTTCTACACTCTCAAGAGGTCATTTTGGAACCTGTTAGTTCCATTTTCATAACTTAGACGATGTGTTCTGTCCTTAGCTTGAGTTGTGATTAAAAAGCATTTAGCTTCCTGACTCAACTGGAGAATATTTTAAAAATGTAGAGTTTCTTTTGTAGGTTTTGGCTTGGCTTGTCACCTTGGCATTCTGGCAAATCTACCTACTATTGGGATTGGAAAAAATGTAAATACTGACAGTAACTACATCCATCAACTTTGATGATTTGGGCTGTCCCTGCTTGCCTGACTTTTTGAAATTTCTCTTGATATATATTCAATTCAGCTTCACCATGTGGATGGCCTAACACTATCTGGTGTGATGCAACTTCTTAAAGCCAAGGAAGACTACGCTGAAGATTTTGTTACTTTGAAAGGATGCTCTGGGCGTATATGGGGAGTGGTAAGCATCTTATAAGCTTCATTTCTCCTCCCAAAACTGTTTAAATCTTTTGACAATATGGTATGGTATTTAAACTGTGATGGGAATCTTCAGAGGCTGGCATGCAATAATATAAGGAAGTTAAAGATCATTTTGCAGTACTTTTTAGTTGATCCAAACAATATGGACATATACTCTGATTTAAAAGTGGGTAATAAACATGTAATTGCACCCTTTGCTGGAAGTTCTTTTGCACTTTGTCTTGTGTTCTCGGTTTCAATTGATTCCGTGTCTCCATTCTGTTTCTGTTTTCCAGGCAGTGAGATCTACTGGTGGCTCATTGAAGCCTATATTTATTTCAGTTGGTCACCGTATAGCACTTGATACTGCCATCAGGATTGTAAAAATGACTTGCAAATTTCGTGTCCCAGAGCCTATTCGGCAGGTGAAAACTTGAACTGTTCGTGTGCTCTGAGTGGCTTCATATTCACTATGGCCACTCCCCAGTAATATTTTGGACCTGTTAATTGAACTTGAGTGTATAAACTAAGTAGGGATATAATGGCCTTCTCTCGATGCTTAGATGCCCTGTGTCTCTAATCTCTAATATAGTTCTTCGGTTAGTTATTAGATGTGAAATGAATATTTTCTATCAAGTGAAGTTACAGGCAGTCTAGGGAGGGCCTGCTGTGTTATCTTTCTGTTTGCTACAATCTTTTGTTGGCCATTAAGCGATGTTGACATTTCCTGAGTTTGAACCACGGAGTATCATTGCTTTATTTATTTAGTTAATGTAATGTACAATGTTGGGGAGATTATATTAAAGCTCCAATTTTTCCTTCTGATATGGAGGCAGGCTGATATAAGATCCAGAGACTATGTTCGGAAGCATCAAACGAGAATGTCCAAATGATTCAATTTCAAGAATCTGGTAGGTTCACTTTTTCGACCCTTTTATTTATTTATCATTATACATAACATATGAGGGTATTTCCAACTTTGGTGTTGCTTTGTTTTATTGGGAAAACTGCAGTTGTTAGTTAACAAGGCAAAATTTGTGAGATTTCAGGGCCTGCTGTATTTTTGCTACACCAATATATGCAGTGTTAGAATGCTCATCGGGTCCCATTTTAATGCTTCTCCTCGGCCCCAAAAAGGCCGGCCTTGATTACACCACCAGGCTTTTCAAGAGACCCGGGTCTGCGTTCCACTCTCGAAGAAAATGTTCAGATCACGATCCTTAACTTCAGTCTCCAGCTGATGGCTCTTTATTCTTACTAACAAGGGTTTGGGACTTGAAGCCACTCCCCAGTTGAATATCTAACTGATGGGCTACCGTGGTATATGCATAGGAAGTGTTTCCACGAGCATCCAAATTCCACATGAATCCAATTGGAGGGTAACATTATGGAGGTCCATGTGAAATCCTCGTCAACAAATTATCTAAACTCGATTTGATTGGTGTTAGCAGTCTACCAGATGGTGTAATTTGTTTCCTTCGTTTGGGGTTTTATGAATTATTCACCAATGAGACGAGGCTAGTTTCATCAATTTATAGGTAGATTATTTACGTGCGCCTTTTTTTTATGCTTGTTTGTTGGCTTCAGTGATTACGCCACAATTTTTTTGTATATATATGAAATGGAAACTTCATTAGGTAAACTGTTCTAAAACCTAATGAGAAATGCGAGCTTGTCAGCAATTATTGATATTTTCCTTCTGATTTTGAGGCAGGCTATGGATAAAGAAATTGGAGTATATAAATTGTCCTAGTCCAAACTTGCTCTCTGTAAATATTTACTTCCCATATAAAGATCAAGCTCACACAGCCCAGACAATGCTTGAAAACCTTGAGTAGTGAATACATTATTTGAGACTAATAATGTACAAAAAAAAAGCCTAAAAAATCACTGAATTGTAAAGAAGAACACAGACACTAACACAAACAGAATTAAACAACTAGGCTTTTCAACAGAACCAGCTCCGGCATTCAAAGCAGATGAAGAAGATGATCGGATCATGATCCTAAACTTGCAGTCTCCAGATGATGGATCGCTCGTGGTGATGACCGAAAGGTTTGGAAACTTACAGGCAGTGTCCAGTTGATTATTTATCTGATAGTAACTGTTAAATGCATAGGAAATGTTTCCACGAATATCCAAATTTCCACATGAAGTTCCATATCCAAGACTGGTGCAGTCAGCATTTGCACAAGCATAGCTCACACTTAGTGCCACTTGTGGATCGTCAAGATTCGCCGACGGTGACAGAACACACCATTTCTTGTCCAGATATTGTACACCGCTTGCTGCTACTAATCCATTCGAGCTTGTCGTGCCTAGACTGAGCTGATATTTAGGTGTTCCATCAACGTAAAATAGCCCCCAATGGCGTTCAAAGTTACCTGGCTGAATGCTCTTGGCATCTTCATCAATAAGGCTAAATAAGTAGGCATCTACAGGGCCAGGTCTCATTGGGGTGCCTGCATTGTTCTTGATATGGGACATAAACCCCTGGTTGAACCTTTGAGCATACTGTAAGTTTGCATTTCTGTCCCCATCCGTAGGCCAACCGATCTCTCCTACTATTATGGACAAGTTTCCAAATCCATTTTTCTGTAAGGCCCATACAAGGGTGTCATGGTTTGCATCAAATACGTTGTTGTAGATTTTTCCGTTGTCATTAATGGAACTTGAGTATCCATTGAAAAAGGCATAGTCGGCAGGGAAGTTGGCATCATTGTAGAGGCTTATGAAGGGATAGATATTCACTGTGAATGCAGCACCGTTGTCACTCAAGAACTTGACGATTTCCACCATGAGATCCTTTGTGTCTGGTCGGAAGTCACCATTAGAAGGCATATCCGAGCCACTGCTGTCATAGACATCGGCGTTGATGGGAATAGTGACCTTAACCTGATTGCTCACACCAGCTTTTATGAGAGCTGACTGGACATTCTGAAGGGCAGGAAATATTGTTGGAAGAAAGGTTCCATTGTACGTTGACAACAATGGTTCATTTCCCACTGCAGCATACCTTGCAGAGAATGTATGAAATAGGTAAGATATAAATTAGACGTAGATTGCGCATTTGATCAGAACTGGAAAACTAGTATGACAAAAACAGTAACAACTAACAATGAAGCAGAAGAACACCTTCTGGTTAACAGAAGTCCTGCTTTTGATAACATGTCAAGCATTTCAGAATACTCTTCTGAAAGACTTTTGAAAGAAGTTGGGAACTTTGCTGAAGTTTCAATACAAGCTTGTTTGCTAACATGTGATACAGATCTACTTTCATATGGAGATGCAAATGAACTGAACCGCATTATCAGAAACTGTAGAAAAAATTTCACACTCAACGCCAAGGTCAAATCAAAGAAGACTCTAGCTAGACAAAATGAACAAGGTTGTCGCTTTTCCAGATCATCTTTTGATCAAGAAGAGTGAATTAAATAGCAGCTGAAGAATTTGAATTTCCTATAAGCAGTTTGGGCATATATTGGCCAGAGTACACCAAGAAGTGAATAGCTTCAAAATAACACCCTCCCAATCTCTCTCTCTCTCTCTCTCTCTCTCTCTCTCTCTCTCTCTCTCTACACATCTCTCTCTCTCTCTCTCTCTCTCTCTCTCTCTCTCTCCACACACATCAATACATAGATTCATTAACCACTTGTTTTTATGCCAATACTCTTACCTATCAATACATACATCTTTTGATCACACACACACACACACACGTAAACGGCTTCATTTTCATAGAGGCTAAAACCAAGGAAATTATCTTATAAACATACATAAACTAAGGCTCAGGCTTAATCATTCACATGTTTGGAAAATAAACTTAAATCTGTAAATATGCACATAGCATAGATAAGGACAAGAGAAAGATGGGCTATTTACCTAATATCTACACCATTGGAGACATGTGAGGAGACATTCTTGGAAACCCAATTCTCAGCTGCTTTCACACTATTAGCCAAAGCATAGAGCATTTCATTGGGAATTCCTACCATGACCTGAATCCCAGACTTGCTCAGAGCATTCAATATCGAAGAATCGGCATCGAAAAGCTTAACCTTTTGAATCCCGTTGTCCTTTAACATCTTCACCACTGTTGCTGGTGGGAGAGGGTGTGTTAACTGAGTTCCCCAGTTCACTCCAATGCCAACCGTTAAACCCACAAGCAGATTGAAGAACAACAAGGCAACAGTAAGGCCTCTAAAGCCCACAGCTTTCAACAACCCCATAAAACCCTTCAGCAAAACACTTGCAGAGACTTGCTCTCGGTGCTTAAAAGAAGGAGGGTACGAGTTGAAAACTGGTTTTGAAGCAAAGTAGTGGCTTTAACAGATGGGTTTGATGCTAAAGTTGGATACTTTCAGCTGCTGAAGCTTGAAAATATCGACCCAAGTTCTAAACTTGGAAGAAACTATTCTTCTTTACTAGCCAATAAACAATATTTTTTTGTTTAAACAAGGGATCTGGAAAACAGAATCAAATATAAACTAAGCAAAACAGAGACTGGGGGAGCAGAAAGAACAGAATCAAGGACTGCACCGAAATTGAACTATAAGAATACAGAAGAAGAAAGCAAAGCACAAAGGCACAGACCCAGAAGAGGAGTTAATGCTAAACAACTAAAATTTGGGATATACAAGTTGTTTACACAAAGCAGAAACAATGATTGATAGGAAGGAAGAGAATGATCAAACTGGTTTTGGCATAAAGTACCCAATATTTGCTACAAAATCCTCAAAAAAAAATTATGAATTCAATGAGTGATGTATAAATAAAATGCAAGTTATTGCAAGTTACAACACGACAGGGCTTGCTTTCTTACAAACAAAGAAAGAGGAAAAAGAAGACGAATAAGAATGTTTCTTTTTGTTTGGGTGTGGGATGAGTATTGTACTTCATTGATTGGGCCATTATAAAAAGGAATTATGAATAAGCGTGGTGATCGAGAAGAATAATTAAACAGGTGTCTTGAATCTTTGCACCAGAAAAAAAGGAAGGGTCTTGAATCAGTTGGGATATTTTAGACTTCTCACTTCACGGCTGATTGTGTACAGTAAAGCAAAGGTTCAGTCGAGGAAGTTCACCTTTGGTGACCAGCGGTTGAGATCACTCTGTCTGTTTGTTCTTGTGATGGGTAACTTCAGTTCAGTACAGTGGCTGCCAGTATATCTAGCTTCCCTTTTAAGACATTGTATTGTAGACAATGCTAGATGGTCCTAACTTTTTCTTTAACTTTATTTTCTTTTAACCTATATGTCGCTTTCACTTTGAATTGTACAAAATCATGCTGCTATTTGAGAGAATCTCCGTGCATAGATAGCAGCCTAGCTTTAGGTGCTGGCATCCATCACCCACAGATGAGTCAAAAAAAAATCAAGGGATCTCTTTTAAAATAAAAAGTCCTGCATCATGCAAGTAAACCCCAGACCAAGGTTTTCTATTTATCTATTGATTATTTTACTAAAAACCATGGGTGACTACGTGGTTTGGTTTGCCTTTTAAAGAAGTGAAGAACTTTATGGTCTAATTATATGTTTATTATCGTTTGATCGAGTTGGATAGAATGCATGTACTCCTTACACCGAGTTTAAATACTCATTCCTATAACTCAGATTAATATTGCTTGTATTTAAAAAAAAAATGTTTATTATCATTTCTAGTTGTATCCTGGTATGCACCATACGACCATGCGTTTTGACCAACAATAGATTATGGCACCACACTTAAAAAATTTGCCAATTATGGGATGCATTGTGCTGTTTTTTTTTCGTGTTCAAGGATTGCATTTGCATTTACCGCATCCCGCATTCATTCCCACGTTCATGGTCGGTCGGTACACGTAACGTCCCAGCCTAATTTGGCTGGCACTTTTTTTATGTTTACAGAAAACAAAACATTAAATTTAGAATGCAAAAAAAAAAAAAAAAAATTATGGAAGAGCCAAATATGAGAGAATAAATAAAATGATATTTTTTGTTTATTTTTTTAGATTTACTAAATAAGGGAAATGGATCATTTCCCATAATTAATAAATAAAAAGACATAAGAATTAATTTCGCATAAATTCTTTTCTGCAATCCAAATGCGTTCTAGTAAGCTGGGTGTTTTCGCCACCTCCCACCCATGTCACTACAGAAAACGAAAAAAAAAAGAAAAAAAGAAAGGGGGTACTATATGTGCCGATTAAGTTAGGAATTTGGCAAAGAAAAAAAATATTATGTTATATAACTTCTCAGTTATGCTTTTTTATTTTATTTTATTTTATTATGTGTTATTTCAATTTATTTTATTAGATTAGGCCCAA